GTCGTGAATTTGACGGTGGCCTAATATATGGTTTTGGATTATTTGAGTCAGTGTATTCAAGGGTGGTAACATACTAACAGTACCATGACCTGGGATAGTTTACATTCAAAATTAAGACACAGAACTCAAGTCAAACCAACACCTTTTTATGCACAATTACCATGTAGAGGTATTTTTTGGTAACAATTTACGTATTGTGTCGTTAATTTGCATTTTTACAAAACCACTCACTTTTTGTTAAAATTATATTATTACGTACCAACAATATTTAACCTGTGGGTCAGGTCTGTTAATAACCAAACAGAATGGCATGTTGTGATATGGGAATTAAACAATATTGGAAGGACACTTTTTTGATAATTTGTAGAATTGAAATAACTGTGTTGAAGTACAATCTCTCATCATTGATTTCAGTAAAAAAAATACTGGCGATTGGCAATTTGAAAAATATGTGTGAGAAGTAGTTAACAGTTGACATAGTTGTCAACAGGTCATTGACTCTCTTCTTACATGAACACGCAAGGAAATAGTTATGTTTACTATTATCATGTGGTAATGACCAAATATAACATGCTTTTCATTGTCCAAGGCCACTTGAATATTCAGCTTTATAGTGCGCAAAGAAGTCAGTTAGTACGTTCAGTTACGGAATATCGGCATGTGATAAAATTGTTCACCGTTCATGTTTGCAGAGGAATTTCAGTAGCCGCGTTCACGTTTGTGAACGTTGGAAAATCTATGCTCTCATTCGTCGATCTGTTATTTGACCAGTTGCAGCAGGGCAGTACAATAAATATACAATGCCAACAAGTGTATGCATTAATTGCAACATCTTCTGATCATATCAAACTACACTTCCCTTCGTCGCAATGCCATACCTGTCTGAATCAGTATATGCTATCTTAAAATCACCACTGGGGATTTTGATTCGCGCCGAGATTTCAGGGAGCACACCGACCATTCACACACATGTCGTGAGCAAATCAGCATGTGTTGAGATTTGTAACGTGAACGCCACTATTGAGTGGTTATCTGGAAATTAATAAAGTGGAATTGTAGTTTGAGGTTACCAAAAGTACATGTCACATACGATGTTCTAATTATTACAGGTTGTCCTAATGGTAAATATGGTGATACATGTCTACTTAACTGTCCTACATGTTATAATGGAGGTATATGTAATGCAGACACTGGAGAATGTATATGTCCACCAGGATTTAAAGGAGGTGACTGTAATATAGGTAAGACAAATAACGACTAGATGTACATGTATGCTTACATAAATGACCAAGGTGTGATCCAATTATCACACGTATACAATTATTGCAATTATTAAAATCTGTCTGACATATTAGATATAGAAGTGGACATAAGTGGACAGAATAAATACATGTATATTGCAGGGAATTAATATGCTAAGATCAAATGTGGCTATTATTTTATTTACATACATATATTAATTCACATTATTTTTCACTGCTGGGTAATTTCATTGCATTTTTAAATTAATTTAATTAATTAGGGGCATACGTTATAAGAGCACGACACATTTTTAGTGTGAATAGGATGGCCGTCTACCCAACTGTTGTATTGTAGTATACTATTTTTTTTTTAGATTTTTTCTTAAATGTAGTCTCTATGTGGTTTGATTTGGGCTCTGGTTTTTCAATAAATTGTCCGGTTACCCCAACTTTGATTTTGATTTTTGATATCCCGATGGCACGAGGAAGAATACGTAATACTAAATTAGTTTGCAACTATTGATAATAAATACTTTTCATCAGACCAATCAACTTTCACGGTGTTAACAATCTTCAAAATTAAAAGTTTCAGTTTAAAATTGTCATAATGCATTATACTATTTATCCACACATTTTTCTATATTTTTTAGGTTGTGCACGAGGCTATTGGGGAAAGTCATGTGAGCGCCTATGTTCAAGTGTAAATACAGCTACAGCTTGTACAGGAAAGATGTTCTGTGTTTCTGATCCATATGGATGTTCATGTCTTGCATCACATGGAGGATTAGATTGTAACATTCTTGGTAAGTTGCATCTAAAGTAACACATAATCAAACTTTTTTCTTGTAATATTATTTGTAGTAAGTAGCATGTCATATTATATTGTGTTGACTCGGGTACCTCTGGTTACAATCTTATAGGTCACTTGGTGGTAGATATTATTGTTATTTTTTGACACACAATAAGACAACTTTATTATTCGGCTCTTCAAAGAAAACTACGTGCTTTCATGACATATCTTAAATAGTTGTGGTTCATTTTATAGAAATTTAAAATGAGAACAAGGATTAGTAACGATTTAAAACTTTAAATTACGTGAATAAGAAATAAGTGAAAATATAGCTCGATAATTCCAGGGTACTCACTAAAACGAAGGACCGCAAAAGTCCGAAGGACAGAACCGAAGGACTTAAACGGGTTTGATGACTATAAAACGCAGATACAAATAACGTTATTTGAAGGATGCATTTCTTCACAAATTATGTAGTAGCGATTAAATTTAGACTAATTCGATACCCATAGCCAGCTAATAGAATATATATGTGCATTACACGATTAATATGTGCAAAGGACCAAGATTACATGATAAATATGGGACACCAGAATTATATAATAGATATGGGCGAATGACCAAGATTACATGATAAAGACGGGCGAAGGGCCACGATTGTATATTGAATAATCATGCAATCGCGGGCGTTTGTCCATATTTTGCATGTAATGACATAGACCTTCGCCTATATTTATAGAATTTAAATGTGGTCTTTCGCCAATATTTATCATGTAATCGTTAGTGATCGTTATTTTCAGAGCTCTATAAAAGTGGGTTGGTCTGAAAGGAGTCGACATTTGATGTATTTAAATTGTGTTTTATGAGTAACATTATTTTTGTAGTGTTGTGTAAGGCCTGCTTATTGCTAATGAGAGGGACACCCACAGAGCTCACACTGGACAGGGAGTCCGCTCACTGCTAGAAAGGGATAGACAAGACAATAATACTGGAAATGAAATACACATACACCAAAATATCAAATTAAAGCTCCTGGCTTTAATACCTAAAAAAATAACAACAAATCACAAGAAAATACAATGAATAAATTCACTAAAATAAGGGATTGTCTAGGAAAGTTTACAACTGTCGACACGACAAATTGCCCAGATTCAGAAAGACTGGCTGGGTTTTCACTAGAGCCAATCAAAATGTGGTCTTGCCAGCAACTGTCTCACGTAGGCAACTCAGTAGATCGTGAACATCCTTTGTTATGTAAATCACAAGCACACCTGATAGATTTCAGCTGTCCTTCCCGAGTTGTAAACATTCTTTTTAATGTAAATCACAAGCACACCTGATCGATTCCAGTTGTAGTTTCAGAGCTGTCAATCACCGTTATAACTGTTGTCACACGGCAATGGACACCGTTCTTTCAATGATTTCATGCACACTTCTATTTGCAGGGTTTGTGGTAGTATGGCAAAAACCTGGAGTAAAGATTGTTGACATGTAGTGTTTTTTTTTTTTTTTGTGAATACAGAATACTTAGATTTACCTTGTTTATTGCAACACATATATAATTGTGCATTTATTGATGGTGAGTAAAACTGTCAAGATTCATCCCGGACCTATTAAACTAAATAGTGTTTACCCTGGTTCATGTCTAAGTATTTTATAAATTGGAATCTGGCCGAGGCGTGGTATAGGACATGTGACTGAATCGGGGGCGTATCATTGTTATACTACGCGTTGGCCTATATAACTGGCTTCTACGTGTGAGGTATACTTGGAATGTCCTTGTTTACAGTGATTTTTTTTAGTATTGATTTGGGGACCTATGGCCAAGAGTTGATGAGATTGATGCACGGGGATTTGCACGAGCTATTTGCACGAGACAACATCTGATGGCGAAAGAGTTGGGATAATATAATATAATTTTGCAGGCGTTGCATAATCTCACTCTAATCCAAATATGTTTAAATGCACATATTTGTTGTAAAATGCAAACAATTACGCCAGCAAAGCTATGCATCAACTATCGAACAGCTATACACAAATAACGAGACTGTGAAATTATATAATTACATATATAAGAAATTATACTATCACGCAATATACGGTAGGGTTAATTGAACGCGCGCCGTCAGCTGCAGCAGACGACAGTAGTCGAAATATGTGTGACTTCCCGTCAAAACGACAAATAACAATAAGGTGGAAGAAAAGTATGCTGAAGCAAATTTTAATGATTTTATTAATAAATTTAATAATTGAAATGTCACCATTTACTCTATTAACATAGGAATTACCCCACATTAATAAACTATAGTTGACAGTCCGGGCGAGATTGGGATTATTTTATAGTAATATCTACTAATATATATAAGTTTTCTGTTTACAACTATTGATGGATTGTCTGCCAATTGCAATAAACAATCAAGCCAAGCGTTAGATAGTAATAACAAGTTATTTCAAGGCCAGTAAATCTCGTGACAGGGATAGTCTACTAATATGTAAATACATTGAACACGTTGATCTTTCTAAGCTGACGTCATTTTTCCAGATTGCCCTTTCGGAACATATGGAGTTGGATGTACACAGACGTGTCACTGTACCAATGGATGTAATACACAAGGAGAATGTATTACTAGTCCTGGTGATTGTCATACAGGATGGAGTGGTAATAAGTGTAAAGGTATATTTACGATATTACATCAGATATGTCAGTTTACAAATGGGTGTAATTACAAAAAGAGAATGTATTAGTAGTCCGGGTGATTGTGATACAGGATGGAGTGGTAATAAGTGGAAAGGTATGACTATGATATCACATCAGATATGCCAGTTTACCAATGGATGTAATTACAGATCTAGAAGGAGAATGTATTAGCAGTTCTGGTGATTGTGATAAAGGATGGAGTGCTAATAAGTGTTAAGGTATGACTATGACATTTTATCAGATATGTCAGTTTAACAATGGGTGTAATTACAAAACGAGAATGTATTAGTAGTACTGGTGATTGTGATACAGCATGGAGTGGTAATAAGTGTAAAGGTATGACTACGATATCACATCAGATATGTCAGTTTACAAATGGGTGTAATTACAAAAGGAGAATGTATTAGTAGTCCGGGTGATTGTGATACAGGATGGAGTGGTAATAAGTGGAAAGGTGTGACTATGATATCACATCAGATATGTCAGTTAACCAATGGATGTAATTACAAATGGAGAATGTATTAGCAGTCCTGGTGATTGTGATACAGGATGGAGTGGTAATAAGTGTAAAGGTATGACTACGATATCACATCAGATATGTCAGTTTACAATTGGGTGTAATTACAAAAGGAGAATGTATTAGTAGTCCGGGTGATTGTGATACAGGATGGAGTGGTAATAAGTGGAAAGGTGTGACTATGATATCACATCAGATATGTCAGTTAACCAATGGATGTAATTACAAATAGAGAATGTATTAGCAGTCCTGGTGATTGTGATACAGGATGGAGTGGTAATAAGTGTAAAGGTATGACTATGATATCACATCAGATATGTCAGTTTACTAATGGGTGTAATTACAAAAGGAGAATGTATTAGTAGTACTGGTGATTGTGATACAGGATGGAGTGGTAATAAGTGTAAAGGTATGACTATGATATCACATCAGATATGTCAGTTTACTAATGGATGTAATTACGAAAGGAGAATGTATTAGCAGTCCTGGTGATTGTGATAAAGGATGGAGTGCTAATAAGTGTGAAGGTATGACTATGATATCACATCAGATATGCCAGTTTACTAATTGATGTCAATAAAATAGGAGAATGTATTAGCAGTCCTGGTGATTGTGATAAAGATGAAGTGCT